GTGGTTCATACCTTTTCCAAATAGGGCCATAGGGATGTTATGACGATGGTGAAACCTGAGAGAAAACAAGAAACATAAACTCGTTTGTCGAGAAAACGCACCCTCCCTCAACACAAACACAAGAATTTTAAAGCGACAGTAGAAAAGTTCATTTTTAACCTGGAAACCCAACAAAACTCTGTTTCCAGAGATTGTTTACATGTAAACAGGAGTTTTGTCCAAAGCAGGTAAGGTACTAACTACTGACATCTTCTCCACAGAACCCTGCTTAAAATAATAATAATAAAATAAAATAAATCAAAACGAGCCCTTTGAAGTGTGAATATTAAACTCAGACCCACAACGGTACTGCTGTTTTTAAATCACCACACTTGATATTTCTGACATTTCYTGGTGCTGGTGTGGAAATAAACAGGTCAGCGACATTCACATTTGAAAATGTGTTATTTATAAAGCTAAATAAATCTAAAATCCAACAAATATTAAAGCTTTATTTTCTTCTAGGACCTAGACTAATTATAGGTTGAAGTTTCAGCTCCAAAACCACACACAAATTTTTAGGATGTATTTTTCTGTCACGCTTTTAAACCATTTCAGCAGAATAAACCAAATTATAAACTAAGACATTAGATCGTAAATCTAACATTTAATATCAGCTTTCTGTTTATAAAAACACTGCTGATAAAATAAACTTTGAAAAAAAAAAGCTAAAATTCAAGGCCAAAAGTTAAATAATCTCCCAAAACAGATTAAAAATTGACCTTGTGTTAATATTTGATAGCTCTGTGGCAGACAGAAGGACTTAGAAGTGTAATATTTGATTTTCTGAAGAGAGAACAGCCGAAAGGAGGTAATTTGCTTGTTGTTTTTTTATTTTATTTCAACTGCCTACTTAACTTTAATAATACGATTGCTGAGGTAACTCAAAGGGCCCGACAGCAAAAATATATATTCAAGATAATATAAGACCAAAAATAAAACTTAGAACATATAAAATAGTAGAATAATGAATGCAATAACAGTAAAAACAACGTTTAAACTTGGATGAATCTAGTAATATGAAAAAGAAAATAAAGACAAAAAAGTGATTAGATGTTACAACGACTTGCCATAAAGAGGTCTGTGCGCACGAGCTGAAAATCAGCGTCGCGCGTGTTGGACGCATCGGTGCGCACTTTCATAAAAAAGTTTGTGTTTTCATGAGTCCTCACCTACACTGCTGAGGAACATGGTGAAGTACATGACTCGGATTGACCTCCACCGGCTTCTGTAGTCCTCATCCTGCGAGTCATCGCTGCTCAAATYCAAATAAAAGTGGATATTTTTAAAACCGACAACCCAAAAAGACGTCTCCAGTGTWACCAGTGCACTCCACCGCTCCATGCAAAACTTCATGTGTTTGTGAACTTTGAACTCACCTACTCGCATCGTCCCGGAGTAACGGGGTGGTGACATCCGAATCAAGATGGGACATTTTAAAACAAAACCGTAAAACTTTACGCCTAAGTCGCCATAGCCGAGGGTCAGTGAACTACACGGCCAAAATGCTAACTCCAGCGCTTCCGTAAAGAGCTCCGGAAAGCTAGCTAGTATTTGCTAACATTCAAAAATAATATCTTACAGGTCAAACATATTCGTAAATCAGACAAATGCTGCACTCGGTGTTAAGCGGGGTCATTTCCAAACAATGCCGAAGAAAATAAAAAWGTAAGCGACAGAAAACCTCTCAAACCTGGACTAYGAGACCAGTTGTTTTCACAGTCAAGTGAAATACGAACAGTATATCCGGTTTATTATTTCAAAATAAAACAAACTCCGCTGAATATATCAGAAAATTGATTATAAACAACTATTTAAAACTTTAATTTAAAAGCTGAATTAATTATATGAGTAGAAAATTTGTCAAACATATATGTTTTGGCATTTTTTTTGTTCCCTTGTCAATTACTTGCTCTTACTTTGAAGTCATCATTTAGGTTCATCCGGATAGTTTCCTGTTGGCTGTTGAATTATCTTCTGTCACGTGAGAACATAAACACTGTCCCAGAGGCTGCACTGTCCTGTACAGTATTGTACTCTGATCCCTGCAGGTCACTTTTTAACGTAGTAAAAGGATTTTTGCATCTATTTAATCATTAAATGTCTTAAATAAAATAATATTAATGTTTTGGGTTTTTTTCTTAACAATTTTGAGTAAAATCTACTAAAGAATAAAAAAGCAGAATGCCAAAAATGTATAAAATATATCTTTGAATATAAATAGTCTACATTTTTTCATGATTTGTTCCATGCGTACTAACTTTAATTCTCTCTCCAGAGCAAAGTGACACCTGCCCAAGGTGTCTTCCTCTGATGATGACTCTTGGCTACAAACAAAACAAATTTTAGCTCAACAGCTGTAGAAGTGATAGAGTTACAGACATTTACGTGTTTGCTAAGCTTGGTTCGTTGTGTTGCCATCTTAAAYTGRGTTGGGATTAAATGTTCAGTTGTAGACATACATTCAACAACTTCCAGGAAAATAAAATCTGTGCAATATTTTATTAGATTTTGTGCTAGCACAGCAGACTTTTATTTCAAATGCAGTGTTAAAATGAGTGGTTGTAGCAGATTTATTACATGTTTTGTTTATGTTTCCCTCTGTAGTTTGACTGTAAAGAACCTTTGCATACTTTCATAATTGTAAATATTTTATATTTAATGCAGAGACAACACATAGGCTTGTTGTTTTCAATATGTACTTTAAATGTTGTTTTGTTTAYATGTCAAAGTCATGTATTAGTGGCACTAAGGGCTTTCCATAACAAGACGCAAAAATAAAACGAAAATGAAAGTAAATCATCTTTCGTCTATTTTCTTCAGAAAGGACGTCTCCTTTCGAGGTCTGCACTATAAATTTATATCATTRTAAACCAACTGGCTTCAGATTAACAAATTTCGATTGAATTACGTCATAAATTTCGTTATTGTTTTTTAAAGAAGGAAAACAATCGTCAAACCAAAGCCACAGCCATGGGTAGGTCGAGATTTTTTTTATATTTTGTTAACCTTTTAGAATAAAATCTGATGAATGCTGTTAATGTTATTTAAGATAAACTGCATTCTGACGTTTAGTCGACATTAAGGTGAAAAACAAAACATTTGTCCTCATGTTGTGTTTTCATTTACAGATGAACACATGATTTATTCGTGGTGTTTGATGGTTTTTGTTTCATTTTCCCGTGCAGCTCCTGGTAAGTCCATGAAAAGCACCCAACAAACTGTTTTCTGTTCTAAAAGAAATTCGGCCTCAGTT